AGTCTGCCTGTCAGTTGGTCAGTCTGCCTGTCAGTTGGTCAGTCTGCCTGTCAGTTGGTCAGTCTGCCTGTCAGTTGGTCAGTCTGCCTGTCAGTTGGTCAGTCTGCCTGTCAGTTGGTCAGTCTGCCTGTCAGTTGGTCAGTCTGCCTGTCAGTTGGTCAGTCTGCCTGTCAGTTGGTCAGTCTGCCTGTCAGTTGGTCAGTCTGCCTGTCAGTTGGTCAGTCTGCCTGTCAGTTGGTCAGTCTACCTGTCAGTCAGTCAGCCCAGCAGGGATGATGTGCAGCTAGTGATTTGAACTGTCAGTCATGAAGTTTTAATCAATAAGTCATTTATTCACTTTAATGTTAGAATACTTACAAGAACTGCTCCTATCAGACTGCTTACTGCGATTAAAACATACAGAAATAAATAAAAATGAAGAAATTGGGGAACTGGGGAAGACAATGCATATTGGTACTCTTTGCTTAAAGTGCATGTAAAGGAATTTTTTGTGTGTTTCCTAAAGATAGTTTACCATTCATTAAATATGGTTTGAGGAAAAGAAATTCAAAAATCTAAATAGGGGTGTCTTTTTGAGGCGAACTTCAAGTTCAAAAATGTCCTCCTGTGCTTTTTGTATCGCGAGAGTCCTAGAGAGACTGGAGACAATAAACGTGTGATGTAGCTTCAGTCAGATTAGTCTCGAAGTTTGCAGAGAAATACTAGCAAAATTCCGCCATTCAGGTTTTAATCTGACATTAAAGAAAAGGAAATTCAGAAATTAATATTCGAATGAATTATGTCACCAAGTTCTCATTAGCAACGATGCGCGCCAAAAAAAACTTTACAGATGCTACATCACGCTTATTGTAACCAGTCCCCTTAGGACGTTATAGAAAACACAGGAAGCCATTTTTTGAAGTTAATTGCCTCAAATACACACCACTGTTTTGATTTTTGAATTTCTTTTCTTCAAACCATATTTAACGATTGGTACACTTAGAAAACACAAAAAAATTCCTTTATATAGTGGATGTGTAATGACGCCATTTTGTACAACGAAGTATGATGGGGGTAGTAATCCTCACACAGCTCTTCATAAATCTCACTGAAACCAACAGCACAACTACTAGTAATAGTGGATATTGAAAAGTTAATTTGAGGAAACATCATGTTTACAGTACAGAATCAACACTTTATACAACTTACAAATCATGTTGACAGCCAACAAATACATATTGGAATCTTCAGCTCCTTTTACAAAGCAGAATATCAAGGTTAACTGGAAAACACAATATGAAAAGATTTATGAGTGATACAGCATGGATAGATGGATGGATGGATAGAGACTGAATTGCGTGACATATCTACAAAATTTCATATTTACATAAATTTACAAAAATTATGTGTTTTCTTTTTAAAACAGCACAACTAATAATTGGTAGAATAAGTCAACAGTAGCCTCCTTTATATAACAGCAGCCCTGTGTCATCACAACACTCTGTGGGGAGTACCGTTGGATGACGACACAGGGGCAGCTGCTAAAAGAGGCTAGGATCCACAGCCATCTGACTTGGGGATTCAAGGATGCCTTAGTAACCTCTCGCGTGACGTGTGACCGAAACTAAACACGRCTGCGAGGAGACTACCCCTTGGCATGCTGCTGATGCCCCAGTCTCAAAAGTCACTTACACAATATTGAATAATTTTAATAGATATACTTACAAACACTAAAAAGGCAGTGAGTACAGCATAAATACGAAGTCCAAGGGTCTGTGAAATGAGATTCAAGCATAAAATGTCAATCAAATCACTCACGGATAGACTGGGCTCCCTGTGCTCAGCAAGGAGACTAGAACATCTGTCTTTATTTTTAGTTTAACTGATATTCAAGTTTCCATTCTCTTTGGGAATAATAATCAATGGTTTAATGAACTTTTAAAATCAAAATTAACTTTAAAGAAATGTAGCATTAACTAGTACCGAGTCTGTTAAAGCTATCGTAAATGGGGCCGTTTAAACTATAGCACAAACTTGAATGATCAAAAACTTTATTCTTTATTTGACACATTGAAWGATTGAATTTTCCTACTGTTACAGTTGAGATCATCAAACAATCGTTTCCTTTTAGATGCGGATTATTAAATGAGCAATCGATCAGTGAACAATTACTTGAATCAATCAACAAAGACTTACAATTCTGGGATCGACTTCATGGTAGAGAGGGGAAGAACTAGGACTCGTCTCACTATCCGCCATATTTTTGACATAAACACAGTGTGMAAATCATGTGATTCCGGTATTTGTGGACGTGGAATGCCGATTATAAAACGGCGTATTACGAATCATACCGAATCCGTTCGGAAATTGTTCGTTTGATGTAATTACACTTCGGTCGATTATCGGATGCGTTATTTCAAAGAAATATGGCGGATGATAAGTCTCGTTTAGTCGCTGGGTCTGCTTCTCCAAGCGATCAGACACTTTTCCATGAGAAAGGGAAAAGCCCGAAAGAGGTATGTTGATTTAGATAGTAATAGATTGCGAATTCCAAAGGATAAGCACATTTTTTGCTATACTTAAGGTTGTGCTTTTGCTTTCATTTCTTTCGGCTGAGACGCTTCTCTCTTCGATTTTAACTACTTTGTCACTTTCACAACGTAAGAAAACGTAAAAGTCTGATTTTTTACCACATTGATATCAACTATCACGATATAAGTCGTTTACTTTATTCTGTATTACTGGTTGCAGAAAATATCCACCCCTCCCCTCCCATTTCCCTTCCTTTTGTAATTCTTAGGACTGAAATCTCGTAGTAGTCATTGATTTTATATATGAGCAGACCTGAGCCGTGAATGTAATCATAGCAAAGGAAAAAGTGTGAGGATAAACACAATCTTTGCAAGTAGAGTCATGGATATTTTCTGTACTCACACGTGTGATAATGATTTTTGTGCAAGAGAATCATTAAAATGATTAATGATCTTTTTCTCTTTTATTTAGAGGTTGTTTATGTACCTGTTTGTTGGGCTTGTAGTTATTATGATATTGGTGAGTACTGAACTAATAATAATATATAATAAATAGTAATGTATGATCGAGATTAATTATTATTATCTTTTAGATAACAATCATCTTTTCCATGTACCGTGGTAGCGTATATGACTCAACATACTTATTACTGGGGATTAGTATCCTATGTAAGTATAAACATTAATTATTATGGATGGTTTTGAGTTGTAGTACAAGACTTGACATACAGGACCGAATCATAACATGTGGCCTTTGGCCATGCAGTGGCCTACATCTGTTCTCAAGCTTTGAACCTAGAGCAGATTTCGTATGAGTGGGACACCGTTACCGCACAGTTAAGGCACAGTTACCGGACCTGGCCTGCACAATTTTGGTGAACCAATCGGGCACCAGAATTTGGTTACAGTACGATTACGATCACAGTAAAGTACCGTCTGTTTCCCACTCATACGAAATCCGCTCTAAGCTCCCAACTTAGGCTGACATGTACATGTTAGGTTGTGTACAACAAGTCACATAATGTAAATCAACCTGAGATGAATATGGCATGATGTAAACATTTATGTTGCTGTTTTTCTATTTCAGCCATGGGATTTTTGCAAGGAATTTTGGTAAGACTTTTGTATGTCTGTTATTCCCTTTGAATTATATTACTGAATGCAACTAATTCTAACTAATTTCTTCAATTCAGGTTTTTTGGATAAAAAAAGGCTTACTTCCCACTGAAAAGCTTTGGTTTCTGTACTTTGTTGGGACGTGTCTGATTCTAGAATCAATATTCACTGATGTTTTGTTGTATCATGTCCCTAACAAGTCAACATAGCCTGGTTGTCATGGTGATGTCAATCAACATAAAGCCACCCATCATGCATTGCACTTCACATATTAGTATGGCTACGACTCGACCATTTAGTAACAACTCTCCTAAGTTAAAGTGGGTTAATGGGTTAGCCAAAAAATGAAAATATTTTCATTTCCAGAATCCCATTTTTTAGCAACTTCACATGGAATTTATCTCAAAGTTGTCCAATAAAGTGAAAAAAATATGCATATTATTGTATTGTACATCTGCATAACAATAGATTAGCAATACAAGTACAAGACAATGCAATGCAATAAAATACTGTCGTTAAATTTGTCAGAGCATTGGACAGCAATTTATTATTTTCAAAATTTTAAATACACTATGATGAAATATGTATATATTTTAGTATGTACTTACAAAGAATAGTACACCGTTATTCAATTATAAACGTACACTAATTAAAAAATTAAAAAAATTGTTATTAAAAATAAATGGCATTTTTCATTGGGATTCCTGTGTCGTGTTTTATGGGGAAGTCTGGGACGAGTAAACTGGAAAGACCGCGAAAGTCAAAAAAGATGGCGGACCCCGGGTAGCGCTGAAAAAATACTAATTATAGAGCAGAAATATGTAAGAGTCATGTGCAATTCTATAAACTGAATAGAAAATGGCTTATTTTGGTAACTGAAGAAGAGAAACTATGCAAAATAAGGAGTATTCGGTAAGAAAATGTTTCATGAAGTGACGTAATTTGATAGTTGGTACGACAATGAGTTTCAAGTTTGTTGTTGTTTGTAATTTTACTATTTAGGTTCTTTATACACATCAGAAAACAAAGAAACGTAAAACATGGCAGGTGCGACGACTAAGAATTATATTTGTATCTATTAGATTTATTAATATGATTACAAAATACAAATAAGTAAGTTTATGTAAAGCAAACAGATCCTTGCATCATTGCAAGTTCCTCGACCAAGTTAAATCACACGTACATCTTAGTTTTTCTTTCTTATTCTATTGTCTTTATAACCTGTACAATTTGTTTCATACACTTATTTATCATTGTGTGTTTTTCAGTTTTTAACAATATATTTCATTCATTTTTTTATTTCCCATTTTTCATATTCACGCACAAATTTGACTTTTTTCTGTTTTGTTGATAGGATGGCATACTTCTTTTCCAGAAAAGTAACAACAAAGTAGGTTGAAAAAATGAAATGAAAAAGTACAAAGAAAAATAGAATAAAATAAACTTTCTTCAAATCTTTTCAAAAGGTTATTTTGTATGATGACCAGAGGACTTTACTGGACTCACTATTCATATCCAACAGACAGGTAAAGGAAAACCAAACAATTGTGGTTTTACTCATGCCCCTCCCTCCCCCTCCCCCTCCCCCTCTCCCACCCCCACTATCCACATGAATGACAGGCTGGTTGTTAAAGAGCCTTACTATGTAAATGTTGGTCAGCCATATGTCATATAATGCCAGTTTTCAACACTCCTCAGGTACAATTTAGAGAAAAAAGTATGTTTTTTATGCTCATTTAGTATTTTATTGATATGTGTTCCAGATATGTTGCGGCATGGATCTTGAATCAGATAAATATCTGATAACTATCGAAGAAGAGAAGAATGACACAGTAGCCACTAGTCATCAGGCAAATGTCAACCCCAGACAAGCACTTCCAAGAAACTATTCATTACCGTCTGTCAGGAGAAAGGTGCGGCGTAATTTGTGAAGTCACATGTTGCATCATTATACTATATGGCACCATTTTCCAGGAATCAGACCATAATGACACCATAAAATACAGCTATTTTTACAGTCTTCCTGGTTTAATTTTACTTTATAATTAGAAATCTCATGAGAAATCTTACTGTTGCTAGATATTTATTAAGTATTATCATTTCAAAAGGGATTCCAACCACCTAAGTTTACAGCAACTGAAAAAAGACCTCATCCTGGACCAGATACAACCGTTGGCCCTCCAGATAAAAGGGTATTTATTGAATTTATTAATTTTGTTAATTCTTGTTTTTGAATTAATGCAAAATGCATTCCTTTGAAATTATTGAACTGAACGATAACATGCAATCTCTAGAGAATATTGAATATTGTAATTTATTTAAATTTGTTAACTTTATAGTCAGGTTAATACACTGATGATGGACGATGGATGTCGTCCGAAATATTTGTATTAAGAAACTTCTTGTTATTCTCTTCGTCTATAAAATGCAACTTTCTTTGAAGTTGTTCTTCTGTCTCTTTATATAATTGTACAGCAAGACTTAATATCTGAATTAGTAGTTGTGTAAAGTTCCGCAAGCAACAGTTTTCTTGTGTTATTGATGTTTATAGTTCAAGCTGTTAATAGAAGATGATGGAAGACAGCATATTCCCAGTAAACCTGGCATAGTCACAAGAGATCAGTTTTTCTCATTATACTCACAGCAAAGAGACCAAACCACTTCAATTCCAAGGAATTTTGCCTCACATTCAGTCAATGATTCTAATACAATAGCAAAAGGGAACTCAAGAAGCCTTTACACATTAAAAGACAAAGAAAACACAATCAGTGAATGTACTTTTAATAACAGAAGTGACTGTCAAAGTAAGAGGAACTCATCACAGATTTTAGCTTTGTTTTCATCAAACAGTAATAGTACCTTCCAATATTCACGTCAAGGAATGGAAAACTATCCCACTGAACTGACAACAGACAAACCTACCTTCTGTGGAAATCCCTCTGAAGAGAATAAAAGCACTTTGCAAAAGACTGCACCATCATTGTTCAACAGTTTTGGCAATGCTACAAAAAGAGTAGATGCGTTGTTTGAGAGTCTGTGTAGAGAGAAAGAAAATAACTTAGTACACAAGACTGGAAGCCATTCTCTGCTGACCAGTTTTGGTAATGATGATGGTTTATCTGAAGAAAAAGAAAATGAATTAAAACAAGAATCTATAAAACATATGATAAGCCATTTGGAGCCAGCAAAAAGTGCAATTGGTTTAATCCAAGAGAAGGAGAATGGGTTGCAAGAGGGCCCAGCACCTTTCTTCAATAGTTACCATAGCAACAGAAATGGCCTGTTTAATAAATCAAAGAGTTCATATTCTACAACACCTTATCTTTTAGAACTATCAACTGACAACTCTACATCACAACACGACAACAATACACATAAACCAACACTTAACAAAGAGAGTTATAGTGTTTTTCCTAGTCAACAAGGACCTGGTCTGGATAGACACCAGGCTTCAATGTGGGATGGATCTAGTGACATGTTTCAAGTGCCTGATATTGATTATGATATGAGTGACTTGTCTGATAGTATGGGGAGTGATTTCTATACACATAACATGGCTGGGTTGGACACCACTTCAAGGCAGTCAGAACAGGTTTGATCCATGTGTATTTCACTATTCCTGTGATAATTAATATCAATTAGACATTAAGTCTTAGCAGCTTACTTAAACTTAATATACAGTATTTCCATATGAATTGTATTGCCTACTAGAATTTGCATTCTGAGTCTTAATTACTGTAACTTTCTGTTCGTTGGGCAAAATTTGATTCCCAGAATCATGGAATGTTTTTTTAAGGAGAAAACAGATTTAATGACAAGCTGGAAGGGTTCATTAACCAGTGATACTGTAAGGAGAGACTCTGTTGTACCTGCCACCAGACTTCATGGAACCTCACAATTCATGGCTGGTTCTTCTGCCTCAACATGTAAGTTAGCAGACCATTTTAAATGACATTTATAAACAGATAACTAACAGTTTAGTCATGTTATGATTGCAATTTGTGAGAAAAYGTCTAAGGGTGTTATGTTGGTAAAAGAGAAAAGTATAGGAGTGAAGTGAGTCTATTATAGAGAGTTTAACTGGAGAAAGTGAGTGTGTCTTATCAGTCTTATCAAGATTTTAATTTCTATACCTGATAAAAACAATCTTGAGTATTATGTGATCGTTGTTCTTTTTTTGTTTGCAGTAACAACATCAGAAGAAGACAAATTTGATTTATCTGGATGGGAAGGTAACAATACCAGACAACAGGGATGTTCTGGTGGGATATCACAAAGAGTACCAAAACTTGTGAGTACCATTCAACACAAATTCAAAGCAAACTTAATTAATATATTATCCAATATAATATCTGCAATAAAAGCATTATAATTCAGTAATGAAAACTATCTACCATCTTCAACACATGTACAAACCAGAAAACAAGAAGAAGAGATCCAATGACAAGTTGTCCAACAAGTAGCCACATAACGCTTTACCCAGAAGTAGAAACAAGCAGCTCATCTCTAAACCATCATGATTCAGCCAACAAAGACTTTCTAAACCAAAGTAGTCCAGAAGAAATAACTCCACAATTTGATGCACAATCTAGTTTTTCCAGTCAAAGTCTATCAACAAATAGATTCCAGGTGATGCCAGTTGAAACCAGTTCGTTCCAGTCAAAGTTTTCCAATCAGAACCGAAGGGTTGGTTTGAGGAAAACAGGAGGAAGTTCATCGGTAGGATTTCTTCCAGGAAGTAAGATAACTTCCCAAAGGCCTTCACCTGTGACAGTGTTTAACAGAAGCTCACTGACAGACAGCAACATAATTAAGGTATTCATGTTATACTCCTGGTATATGGACTAGGAGGGGGAGGGGTCTAGATGAGGGGGTACACTGAGTATAATTAGCAGTATGATATCACGTGTGAGGGGATATACTGACGTGTGATATTTTCAGGAGACAATGATGGGTGAGCTAGTATTTCCATCATCCAAAGAATGTGACGATAATGTCAAACCATGTCGACAAGTGACGTTACCCATTACATTTACAAGTGAACAGCATTATCGTCATACTATGAAGGCTGCACTGAGAGGTATTTGTTTGCTGATTAGTGTTCATCATCATCATACTGTAATCAACATCATTCACTGGAATCACGACAGTCCTAAGTTTTAATAATTGATGTTATAAATACACCATCTCGCGGATAATTCGAAATTTTACATTACGTCAATGAGCAAAGCTCAAGCATCAATCATGCATTTCTAAGTTACAAATCAATTGATATATTTGATTGTTTTTTGTTTCAMAACTAGAACATCTGAACATCATACTATTTGAGCTTGCTCAGTCCTTTCATGCTGGATTAAGGAAAGTCAATATCAGTCAGTATGGTTCACTGGATCAAGGTAAATACGCCATAAATTGTAACAATAATAATAATATTCAATTACTTATAACAATTAATTATAATACTGGGTATAACAATGGGTACCAGTGACGTAACACCCACCTAGCGTAGTGGGTAAATTGACTAAGATTCTAAGATTCTAATGTTAAATAATAATGGTTTTGTTTTCTGTGTATTTTTTATAGATACACATCACGATGACCGACCCAGATGTTCACACGGTATGTTTTCGCATGTATAAATAACATAGAATTAAGTAAGGAAAGAAAGAAGGAGAGTAGCAGGGAATGCCTGCATGCAGGCTAGACAAAAGAGAACAATCAAAATAATTATTGTTTCCATAATTCAGGAGTTGCTACATTAAGAACAGTAAAGAAGGATGGTCCAAATAAGGTTTGTGGCTCAAAAAGTAACAAATTTGTGAATTGCCCTTACATCAATATACACCTTTGATAGAAGAAGTTTGCCTTTAGACTGTGTGCTACCTTAGATAATCTGTATTTCATTTCATTCTGTATTGCTGCACAAACTTACTAGCAATAACCTTGTTACTCTTTATAGGGACGTCTATTTTACTGCTGTCCAGGACCAACCAACTCAAAATGCAAGGTTAGTAATAAGATGGAAACAAATTATTAATTATTCTGTTTCTTCATCTTAAATAGCGTTGTTTACAATGTAATGTTTATGATTTAGCTGTTTAAATGGGCCAACGAGTGTAAAACACAAGTAGCATCGACAAACAGAGAGCAGTCACAAGCCAGCAGACCAACACTGTCTACAACACAGGAAATCACTTCATACTTTAGAACTCAGGTTATTATATTATTCTTTCATTAATATGTAATTTATACAATATGAGCGGGCGATCTGTATGAGGATTTGAAACAGCAAGTTGAAAGAGAGAGAATCTGTATGTAATATACAACTCTCTTCATGGACTATGATTTCTATTGCATATTACCTTATGAATATTAATGAGTTTTATAAAGGTCATTATTGCTCATATGTTCATTGATCCATCTACTTTCACCCATTCATTTGGTTTGTCCATTCAGCAATTTATTTTCATTGATCCCATCCATTTTTTCCTTGTCCATTTTCCATGTGAAATCATCATAATGATTATCTATCCACAGAATGTGTCGCTATACTGCGAGTGCCACCTCATCATTAAAAAGAAAACCAAGAAGTATGGCCAAGACAAATATGTAAGTACTGTTGGCATCTTAATGTAAATCTCTGGAAATAAATGACAGTACTACATGATATCAAGGAAATTTACTGTTAGATAGATAGTTTAACAGAAAAAAATACATTGCAGTCTACACTAGTAGACTATGATGCACTGCACTAGGTAGACTATGATACTGTACCGCACTAGGTACAGTATCACACTAGGTACACTATGATACTGTACCGCACTAGGTACACTATGATACTGTACCGCACTAGGTACACTATCGCACTAGGTACACTATGATACTGTACCGCACTAGGTACACTATCGCACTAGGTACACTATGATACTGTACCTAGGTACACTATGATACTGTACCGCACTAGGTACACTATCGCACTAGGTACACTATGATACTGTACCGCACTAGGTACACTATC